TGCCGCGATAAGAAAGAAAGCTGTACAAGATTGGCTTCTGCTGCACAACACCCCTTTCGGGGTCCTAAAAATGATGCAAAACAGTGACTTAAGACGTTATCAGACATGAGTCAGAATAAAAGCCAGTGGCAGTCGTGCTGTAAATTATTTTTTTGCTTTATTCATAAAAGTGAGAGTAACTCCTTTAAGTGAAAGAATCCTTTCTGGTTGTATTTTTCTCAACTGAACTGCTTCTCCTACCATTATTGTCATCACTATTATTGTTATTATTATTATTTTGTTATCTCACTGTCATGCACTAATTTCAATTTATCATTGTTATTTTTTATTATACTCACCTTACTTCATCTCTTCACAACTTATTTTTATCGTGTGGCGCATATATATTTTGAAGCCTTCTTGTATTAATGTTTATGGGTTCAGATAAATAAATAAGCGTACGGGTAACTACGAAAAGTCCAACATTTACTTGAACTGTTGCGGTTACGGCATTTGTACTCACTGATGATTCCTTTGTATTTGATCGCGTGATTATTACGAATTCCGAATATAATACGTTCAGTGGTGCTTATCTACTTACATTTGTCTTAAGTTAGGCTATTCTGGGAATTCTTAGTTAGCACATCAATTTAACCACTTCTAATAATCATATGAAGTTCACAGCTGTCAAGAAAGGGAAACCAGTCGTTGTAAAGCGTAGCGGGTCTGGAAGTCGTTACAGGCTAGTCGTTGTGATTAACTGAACGCTCAGGTAACCACAGCCACTGTTGTGTGCTCCATACATGAGCCTGGTATACATAAGATATCTACAAGGAAGGTTAACAGTTCAGTAAAATTTGTATGTTGTTGGTTATGAAAAGATATAATGCTTGATTTCAGTCTCTTTTAAAATTTGAAATATCAATTAATAGTATAAGGCGTGATCGAGAGAAAATTCAAAAATTAATTTTCCTCAATACAGTTAATACTCGAGTAAATTCTTGGCCATTTTTAAAAGAACCAAGAGAGTGAGTTATTTCCATTCCTCGAGACACTAGACTCCTACAACAAAAAGTTTTCACGGAGTTTTTGCGCGTGCACTGTTGCATCGTATTACTAAATGACACTTTTAATTGTCGTTTGGTACTATAACGTATTAATATTTTAGTAATATGAATCTAATTATGAATAATACAATATATCATGTGTAGATTAAAAACTGGAGTTTGGAATGAAGAATAACTGTCTAGGTAATATAGATATGCGTTATTGCACAGTTGAAACCAAAACAAGATAGCTGGATAAATGACGGTTCTAGATTTCATTATAAATGTAAATGCACATTATTATCTAAACAAATATTACTATTCATTTAGTCAGCTGATAATCGTCCAATCAGTTGTCAAATCTAAATTACATAAAATAGACAAGTTGATAAAAAACGTAAGAGAATTACCAAGTGTAACAAATAAATGTTATTTTATCCTTTCTGAATAGATCACGTACATATTCGTTTGAAAGATAATATATGGTCGCGTTATAACACAATGTTTCCATTTCCGGAAGAATGCTTCAATATGCAATCAGAAATGCATAATTTCAGTCAATGTAAGCGACACAAATAAAAGGGGGAACAAATCAATATGGATGCCGTCAGGACTTGGCAACAAATAAAACAACATAAATGCAGTTCACGAAGAAACATGGAAACTCAGTGAAGGTGTAAGGAAAACAAAAACTACAATAAAACAAAATTATTACCATCGCAAACTGAGTCAAAAAGATGTACATCTGACGGAATCAAGAGGGATAAATCACAAGTATATACGTCCAGGGAGTTTCATACACAAAACCTTGAAAATTGATCTTACATCATAGTCGTGCTCCTCATAAAATCGTAATGTACTGAACAATTTGCAATTTTACTGCCTCTGCGATATATTCTAGTTTAAGTACCGTTTTAGTTACTCTTCTCGAGAGCCATTCCAGAAAATCACACTTTTCGAATACAGAGTTATTTCCGAAAATGGATTAGAGTAATTAGGAGATCCTGCTATTGATGCTTCTAGAGACATACATTATGGTAGCCACCAAGAAGGTCGACATACTTATATTACTGATTATTGCTTGGTCAAATTAGGATTTGCTAGTTTGATGTCCATAAGTTCGTGCAGCAGAACTAGAGCAATACAGTCACAAGTGCTCCGCAATTCTTAACCGATACATTTTTATAAACTCTGTAACAGCCTAATCTGCTGATGATGAATTTTACCATTCTGTTATTGTAATCCTCATTTTCCACTTTGGCTGTTCGCTCCAAATTCTCTGGTTATAGAAATTATGCCATAGTAGTCGAAACAAATCGAAAGATTACAGATAAGTGGTAGTTGAGGAGAGGATGCTAACCTATTGCAGAAGATAATATGAAGATCGATTACGACAGTGGAAAGCAGAACTCTCGAACCACTGGAAATTAAGAGGTAGACGTAGCATGACTATTTGCAATTAGCCCTCTGGGTTTAGGTAGGTAGATTTTCTAATGGTTCGTTAAATTACCTTATTCAAGTCTTCAGGTGTAGTAGTGACATGTCGATAACATTAGAATAAAAAATTTAAAAATAACATGATGTGTCGTAATATGGCTTCTTTGTGTGGGTTCACCTGTAACTATGACTAATGTTTTACATGAGTCCATAATTTCATGATATTGGAGTTAGAAAGACTTGTAGATAGTAGTTACCAAACCATATCTTAGTCTGTTCCTTCGAGCATCGGCACTTGACCATATTAGGAAGGCCGTTGTAGTCAAGCTTAAGCAGTTTTCATTACAATATTCAGATATGATTCTAAACTCAAACAGAACCACACATGTGAATGATCACTGAGATTTAGCGAGTATTACACAGCTGTTTTGAAGTTTAAAATCCCTCCAAAGTCTTATCTACGATCACACATATGGTTAGATCTGTTCCCCCTTGGTATCATGGTAACCATACGAAAATCAAATTATTTAACTGTAATTCAATGGTTTGAACTTCCCAGTCCTAGCCAGTTGCAAGAATAATATTTGTTTTGTTGTCTAGTATGACCAATGAACTTTCATATCTTTGAATTGTAAAACTGAGTGCCATTCTTTTATTTTATTCACTTCAAAAATAATATGACCTTACGTATAAACACGTTGTATGGTTTCCCTTTATTTTTATATTCCACTTGATAAACAGTAACAGGTAACAATTTTATGTCTCAGACATGACTTCAAGAGAATCTGAATAAATCTTTCATACACCTGGAAATGTATATTACGTTTTCCCCTGATAATAAACGTATTCTACCGGTTAGTAGTATTGAAGTGAATTTCTTGCAAATTTTAGTTGAAAGGCACGAATTGTAGAAACAGTGACGTTGGACAAGGTTTATACCATGCAAAATCTGACTGAAGGTGGGATTACGAACTGTTATAGTGTAAATCAATAACTTGAAGGCTTCTCTATTTCGTATTCTTGTACCTTAGAAGTGATTAACAATTTATCTCGGCACGTCGTGAAATATGATTAGATGACAAACATTGTCACTAGCATGTAGATATTTTCGAATGAACTAATCAATCGAAATAAATCATACAAAGCTAGTTTAAGTCCGTTTGTAAGCCAGGGTTTTAACGATTTAAGGTATGATGAATGAAGGAAACCTTAAATAAATATGAGAACTGAGTAAATTTATGTTCCCAGTAAAACAAACACAAACACACACAGTACATAGATATATAATAAATAATTGCATTTCCAGCAGTTTGATCTCTCTTACATTGATAATAACCTTGTGAAAAATAATCATTGTAAATTACACTGAACATAATATTCTCTTTCGACAAAAGAACACAATAAGATTGGATTACGGGTACATAAATACGATATTTTAAAGAGTTTGGAAAAGAAAATCACACTTATCAATCTCATATGTCACCGTTGAACAATGATCTACTTAGCTTGAACTTGTTCAAAACTAAAAATAATAATAAGCGAGAAATAGGAACAATCAAAAATTTAAAGAAAACATGATAAAAGGTGATTATTATTATTAGCTTTACTCAATATTATATTTTTGGTACAATATAGAATTCTCAGCGCAAAGTATTTCAACAGGTTTCCGTTTCTTTCTTCCTGGTCGGTCCTGGCGATAAATATCGAGTGATCGCCAGTTAGATGTTAGCAGTCCAGTAAATGAACATCTGAATAATGTACATTTTTTTCGTTGTATATTGTCAGCAACCACATTCTCTCTTTTTGAGCTTTTTGTAACTTTGACAACGAAAGGTTGTACAATTTTCAGAAACGCAGCAGAATAGGTTATGCGATTAATAAACATAATGATATATTAAAACAAACAAAAATAGATAACTTGTTGAAATATTTAGATGGTAGGGACAGGTAGCCCAGATGCCTTATCAATGAACCAATTAGCATTCACTATCATCACCTAAACGCTTTAAGTAGAAAGGGATATTTAATGAATAAACTAACAGGTAGTACCATTAGTAGTATGTAATTATTTATATATAAATAATACTAAAGACTTCCAACCAGACCTCTTAGTCTAATTTGATTTCCATCATATGAACAGGATGTAGACAAGTTTCCAAAATGGGAAAAATAGGGAAATTTAACCTTACATTAAAAAAAACAAGGAGGATATGACACAAACAGATCAAATCATTTAAGTGAATATAAAGGAGAGCCTATAATAAATGTGTTTTTAATATTGTATATACTCAACAATGGAACAAATAAAATACCTTTAAAATACGATAGAATATTGGAAACAGTGAAAATGCATCGTTTTATTTGAATGAGAAATGTGAATAGATGAGGACAGTGTCGTAATCATAAAAGGGAAATTCATTCGTTAATTTTGGTTTCAGAATTTTGACAATGTAAACATATCCTGACGATTAACGATATATTTGTTTAATAATGTATATGTATACTAGTGACTGACAGTTGTTTCAATGGTTTCAATGTTTATACTTTATTATCGTGATATAACTGAGTTGTCATTATATCACCTGTTGAGACAGTTTGAACAGCTATAGATACACCACTCATTTCAGATAGCGAACTTGATGTTCCACTATCCTCTTTTGATAAATGATTTAGGGTATTTTTCATTGGTTTCGTTGAAGATTCAGTCGATGAAGTCACAAGGCTATGATGTCGATTGTGATCATTATTCTTGTCATTATAAATATAATTATCGTCATTATTATTAATCATAGTTATGGTATGATTACCACTGCTTTTTATATAACATGGTTCCGATTGTGTTTGGTTACATAATTCTGTTGAGTGACTTGAATCGTATAATTCAAAGCATGATGATTTGGAGTTTGATAATGGCTGGATGCCAGTTTTATTATGATTGTGTTTTGACTGAAAATTAAGCACACATTGCATTTCTTCTTCGGCTTCACCTGGTATAAATTTTATATCAATTGGTAAATGTAAACCTTCTTCATGTGCTATCGGTGAAACAAATGGTTCATCCCCTTCGTCCTCAATCTCCTCATCACCAGCTAAAGCATATTCTAAGTCGGAATCGTTATCCACCAGCTGATTTAGATTTGATCTGACCAACTCTCTTTCTTTATTATTTGTACACGTTTCGACGATAAAATCTTCAATTTCTTCTTCAACCTCAGTATCGTCATCAGCAGCAGTAGAAATTGTAGTTTCCATAGTACCAACATTTCCTTCATGATCCATGGTACCGATAGCAACTTCACGTGATCTCGATTTGTTATGTCCATTTCGTTTATTTATATCGGATTCATAAAAGTTTTGCATATTATGTAAGAGTGTTTTGTTATGATTATTGGTTAATGAATTTAATTTTTTCATATGAGATAATGCTCCAAATTTTTCAACATTTTCACGATCACATTCTTTCCAAACATGAGTTGCACGCCATTTTGCACGTGACTCTTTCGGTGCAAGAACAGCATTGAAATATAAAATTTCATCAACCTAAATGTAAAAATATGAGATTAGGAAATTATTTAAATTTTAAAAGTTAAGGTCATGAATCAATTGAAGCTAGATCACCATGAAAACCTGGTAGCATTGGGCGACCGTTTCGTCCTATTGTGGGACACCTCAGAAGTGCGCATCCACGATCTCGTCTCTCGAGATTCAAATCCAGGACCTATCAGTCTCGTGTGTCCAGTGCTTCCACGTTTTCCATGGTCGTCTGGCTTCAATTGACTTATGATCTCAACTATTAAAATTACTATAACATCCACAAAACCCCTTCTGATATCAATTATTTAAAGGAATTTTACGATTACGAAAAGGAATTACAGATATACATAACATGTATCCTTAGGCTATCCATAACACGGAAAAATGGCATACTCAACAGGAAGCCCTCTGTTTCCTTTTTTTCATTTCATATACTTTTGATAAACAGGTGACAATCATTTAAATCACAGGTTGAGATGAATATGAAAGAGATTAAGCATAGAAGAGCATTTTCAGTAATCTGTTTTCATCAATCCCTGGTAATACCGCCTAATCTAGAATCCTTAGGTTTTAATACAAATGAAGCTTTATCAAACTAATAAACCAAATGATCTATTTTCTCTAACCTCAATTATTTAGATCAGTTATGTATTTATCGTAAAAATTCCGTATTATAGGAAATAACCTACTTCATTATAGGATAGTTTAACCTTCAGAAAATATACGGGTCAATAAGGAACTTAGAATTACTAATTATTCTGAAGTTTATGAAAATTTTGTTTTAACTAGATATCTCATATTTGCTGAAAGCAGCTATGGAAATAAATATTCAAGTAGATAGTAAAAAGTTATGATCTATGAAACAGATTTAACTCCATGGAGCTCGCCCCTAGGATTGCTGTTAGACCAAAGCCCAGATAAAAGAAGTTTGGGAATAGAGTCAGAAACCTCATCCTATAGAATACAAACGTGCTAAAAAACGGTAACAGAAATAAACGAATTAATCCATTTAAACTCTGCCTTGTGAATTGAAGGTTCTTCATTTGGAACCGTTATGACGCCTCGTATTAAAAGTCGAGGTCCTTCGGACGTCACCAGGCTGTTGCTCCTTCCGACAATTAGAACAACGAAACAATAGGTAAATGGGATGTTTGCACAATGTGCGTAACCGTGAAAACCAACCAAATAGCTGTGGAAATGAGACAATACAACTTGGTTGTTCTCTGAATCAATGAAACTCAATGAACCCAAACTGGACATAAAAGGTTAGCTTCGGCAGAGGTGGTGTTGTATTTTGGACAACAAAACTGCTGTCGGTGGCACCACGTTTCCCCACCAATACATACACAGTTCATATGGGTTTCACCGCATAATACTACAACGGACCAGACCTATCACATTTGCATCAATAAAAAATTCAGATTCATTGAAGAGATAAGAACAAAGAGAGGAGTTGATATAGCTTTGGATCCTCTTTTGATGGTGGTAAATATGAAGCTGAAGCCAAATAAGCACTGTACAGCAGGAAAAACATCATGCCAGAAGTTCAGTACAAACTTTGCTTGAGAATCTGACAAACTCAACGAGTTCGAGACAGCTCGTATCAACGGGTTTCAAGCCATACATTATCTACTAAAAGAAGGAGAAACTGCTATGGAGATCAACTAGAAAGAGATTAACTAAGCATCAGCATAAAAATGTAATCTGTTTTTGGTGGAATTTCGTTATATGAGCTGTATGGTTTGGTCGTGAACTGTTCTTGAGAACAACAATGTGAGCTTCACGAATGAACCATCCAGCTCAAAGAACCGAACCAGTAAAATCCTCCATCATCCCTACCATCTCAGAGTAAATCTGTGTCGGCACCCTGGGCAGTATACAGCAATTACCAACAACCGAACAAGAACAGAGAAAGTCAATACACAAGCTGAATACACAGAAGCAAAAACGCAGGTGAACAGCATCAGAGCTGACAAGCAGAAATACATGGAACACCTAGCAACGACAGCAGAAAAAGCTGCAAGAAAAGGAAATATCAAACAACTATATGGCACAACGAAGAAACTGGCAGTGACACATCATAAACTAGAGAGATCGGTCAAGGACAAAGAAGGCAAACCAATCACTGAGACACAAGAACAGAGGAACAGGTGGGTAGAACACTTTGAGTAACCCGTTAATAAGCCAGCCTTACTGAATCAACCGGACATCGAAACAACACCTACAGACCTTCCTGTAGATGTCACTCCACCAACGACGAAAGAAACCAGACAAATCAAGAGTGGGAAGGTAGTAAGACCTGACAGTATACCAGCTGAAACACTGAAGTCAGACATAGAGATAACATTGAAGATGCTCCACATTCTGTAGTGAACAAGAACACGGGTGGGGACAATCGACTGTATTTAGCACAGAAATTACAGACTATCTCAGTAAAACGTTAATACCATAAAGTCAATCGTCAATTTGCAAAATATCATTCCATCATATCAAACTGTACTGTTCCCGTTGCAAACACTAATCCATTGTCTCCCATTCCATTGTACATGTGTTTTCTTACAATTCCATTGTGCTCTTGCTCTTCCTTTCTTGATCTTCGCCATCTTCTGCTGCCGGACATTACGTTCTTTTAACGCACGTTATATACTACTTATATCAATATAAGTAGGTCACACCACAATTCTATCCAGAAAGATATGGAAGGAAGGACAAGAACCAACAGACTGAAAAGGATGGTACCTGATGTGTGTGCGAGAATGACAATGATTGGTTGCCTGCTTAGTCAGACACATAGATAGTCCGACAGTTATCAGATGAGTTATATATTCCCCTATTCTTGTAATAATTATTATTGATTGTTCATTGTTGTTGGATTGTGTAGGGTTTTGGTGTGGAAATATATTTACGTTCTAGTCAGGCTAATCACGTGTTCTTGATTTGAAATGTGTTGAAGTCCTGTAGAATAGACGCTGGGAGGGAATCTAGTATAGATATTCATCTAAGGTAAATTAACGTCCTATTCGTGTAAACGTGAAAAACCAACCGTTATAACAGTACCTTATCAATATACCAAGGAAAGGAGATCTGAGCAAATGTGAGAACTACAGAGACATCACACTATTTTCAGTACCAAGAAAACCTTTCAACAAAGTACTACTGCATCGAATGAAAGACTTAGTAGATGCACAACCCTGTGACCGACAGGCTGGATTCTGTAAGAATCGATAGTGTACCGAGCAAAAAGGGACTAATAAGGATGTTAAGCTGCTCATACCGGTCGAACACCACTAGTTTGGAACAGTACTAAGATTTTATAAGTCGCATTTCGATTGGTGAATAAATCACGTGATAATTATCCGGGTTTAAAGTCACAACAAATTGACGACGGAGGTTTCGCGGAAAAATATACATCAAATTTTTTCACACTTTTGAAGCATGGTTCGGCAGAAGTGAAGATATTTTCTAAGTGGAATTTTCTGCTATGGATGATGCTATTAAAGTCCGGCTGCTGTTACAGAAGCTTGGTCCTAACGAGCATCAAAAGTATAAAAACCATATCCTGTCTAAACATGCACGAGAAGCTAAACTCGATGAAACTGCTAACATTTTAAATAAAATGTTCTGTGAACTGTTGTCTTTATTTCGTATCCGGTATAACTGTCCACAGTTGACTAAAGAAGCCAACGAATACTACACTATGTACTCCGGAAGAGTAAATTTACAAGCGGAACGATTTGAATCAAATTTATTAACCAGTGATCAATTTTAATGCTTATTATTCATTTCTGGTCTGAACTGTCCCATCGATACTGACCTTCGCATGTGATTTTTATCCAGTATGGAACATGACGTTGAAATGACGCTACAAATTGTTACTGCTGAATGATAACGATTAATGCACCAAAAACAGGATACAGCTATGCTAGAAACCAAAAGTGCGGTGCCACCTAATCATTCTGTTCATGCTGTTAAGACAGGTCGAAGACAAAATAGTACCAAGAGTTATAAATATCACTCGAAAACTTTCTAACCTTCAACTAAATGTCGGTATTGTGGTGCGTGGCACTTATCAAAAGTTTGCTGCTTTAGAAATCGCCGATGCACTATATGCGATAAAGTTGGTCATAAAGAAACAGTCTGCTGAACCAGAGAAAGTTTGCGGTCAAAGCCAACGAAGCGTCATAACCAGTAGCAAAGCAAGTATATAAACAGTATATATGCTATACTGACTCTAAGCATAGCAGACAAAATAAAGTATGTGGAATTAATGGTTATCGGTGTTCATATTCAATTGTAATTAGACGCAGCATCAAATATACACAATATAGTCACTGAATAGTCGTACAATGAGTATATATAATAGTAGTCCATTAGTAGTTCACAGAAGTTACCCATAATTTGATCCTCGCTAAGATATAACAGTAACAAACGTAAGTAATTAAGGACCTTCAGTAATATAAAATTAGCGATTTTCACATTACTGTTACATATGTCAGGTGATAGTTGTTTACACATGAAATTTCCATATGTTGAATATGTGGCTTGATAAACTACGTATCCTTATATAATATTTTAGATATATTAAACTAGGGAGTTTACAAAGATCTGTATGATTTAAAGCAGTGCTTTCACTACGAACTAAGTCAACCTGAAAAACCACTGAAAACAAGAAGAGATTAAAGAAGTGTCTTATCCAAACTTATAAAAACTCTAAGCAGTGTTTATTAAAAGCTCGATATCAAAGAGGACCAAAATAATTCATAACACCCAGTGAAACAAAATTTATTGAGTAATTGTATAGGAAATATCAATTGACATTTCCCAGCTTTGGTTACTTTGATGACCAATAACTTCAGTCACAGCATGAATAACTTTACAGATCAGTGCTATGTGTTCTTTATTGATAATTTTGTACTGAAAATAATTTGTAAGTGTACAAAAGGACCATTAAATAGTACCGAAATAATGGTTGTATACTCACAAATAATCAATGATGTGAAGTTTGTTAAGTTTCAATTGGAACACATTAGGTAAGAGTTATATAAGATGAAAAAAATAACCAGGAGAAATCAAGTAGAAAAAATACAAAAATGTCGAAAAAATAGTCAATCGGAACGCACTACGTTCTGATAAACACCATTCACCTTCTTTAAAATTGATTTCGTCATATTTAGCACATGTCACTAAAGTTCTCCTAGAATGTTGATGGAACTGATAATTCTAGTGAAGCTTAGCTCCATGTTACACAATATCTCCATCAAGTACAGTACCAATGTACTTGTCAGATTCTAAGCGACATACTTTTTAACTGAAAATATTCACACTGACTGACCTGTTATATCCGGTGAAGATTAAACTACAGGTAAATTCCAAGGACTATTCATGGACTAATATTCTATAAATATTCTTATTGTATAACTACTCAACAATTACACTATGGATATTTATATTCCTTTTATGATAAGCTTTATTTTGACCTATAATTTATTATTGTACGATTTACGGTTCTTAAGTTATGTTCAGTTTATTAACTACTGCCTCCCACATTCACAGCCACTTTTTGGGCTTATTTGTGTACAAATATTATTTCCTATTTTATGGTACGTTGCGGTCTGTGTGATTGATATATAAACCAAGTATGCCTGAAATAAACGATCTGCTCTGATTCGGAAGCTGGTATTTTGTTCTGGACTCAAGTGGAAGGGCTCGTAGGACATAGGACCAATAAGGACGCTAAACTGCCCACACCGGTTGAACGTCATTGGTTGGCCAAGTGTGAAGATTCGTATAAGTCGTATTCGGATTGGTAGATAAGTCGCGTGATCGAAAAGTCAGACATCCAAGGTCATAAAATGACCAACTGCCAGTAACCACCTGATATCAAAGTAAATGGTACTTCATGTAGTTAAATCACCAGTACTGGTGCTCAAACTATAACCTCATCGATAGGAGGCGACTCCCATTAACTGCTGGTCAATGTAAACATCAGTCACTATCAGGTGGTTAGTTGGTGCAGCAAGTATTTGTGTCATATATACATTCTTTTCTTGATAAAATTTCGGAAAGAATGATAAATTATCAAACTAAATTTTGTCAGCTTCTATTAAGGTGTCGATAACGCATTGTTTCATAAAAAAACATCGTATTATATACGAAAGAAATCATTTGTGAGCAAGCACTATATTTCATCATGATAGTTGCTGTTGTAATTTTCTTGGACAGGGTGAGAAATGAACACATGTATACATGAAGTGTATATGATGACTAATCTCGCAAAATATAAAGTACTACTTTCCACTGTAATATCTGTAATTTTGTCAAACAGAACAAAGTTATTAGCATTCTGCACGTCAAGTAAACTATATGGTTGACCAATTGATCATAGCCATTTATAAGATGAATTCCAACCATGAAATGAGTTACAGTTTCGTTCATTTAGAAAAATGAATGTAAAATCAGTCAGGTGTGTCCTTAAGTTATTTAGTCTAATAGGGTCGTGAATATCAACTGGGTTTATACAACTTACAGTTGATTAGTTATCTGTTAGTATTGTAGTACTACATCATCTATTAAACCATTAAAATACATTGGCAGTAATTACACGTCAGTAGTTTGAGCTTGACTGAACGAGTGAAGGATACACTTTGTGAATTATCAAGACGTGTCTGAGTTAATTAAAATTGGTTGATAATGAAGGTCGAAACTTAGAACCCAATAAATCAAAATGTAATCCACAGATTAGTCACGCTTTATTCCACAATCAGAGAAATGACATTTAGTGTATATTTGTTTGACTGTTTACATATAATACAACTAGAGAATTAAGTTGGTTCCTCATACACACTATACTATACAAACAAAGCAGTCATTAACACTATTGAAATTATACCAGAGAAGTTTAAAAAGCTTGTTGATATGTTTCGTGCCAATTATCTTACGTAAGTGAAATTTCTAAGCGAATGACTAGATTGTATGAAGTTGGTATATATATATGTTGTTTTACTGGAAACATATACTTTCTGCTTTTATCTTGTTGAATCTGTTAATAAACTGACTGTTGACAATTTCCGCATTACAGGTTAGGGAGTTATTATTCATCTAACAAGTATAAATTCGTAAAAGATGCACAAATCTTTCACGATTGATTGAAAGTTTATTATGTCGTCTTGGAGTAGAAATAACATTTTACACATGAGAAGACACCTGAAATACGTACACAATTTGACACGGATTAGATTCAACATGGAATTCATCGATGTTTGATTTCTTATTCGTTTCTTACTGATACATATAATCAGTGATTGAATAAAAAGTGATCTGTAGTTAGACGATTGAGTTTTTCTACTAATCAATATGAACAAACTAATCATATCCTATAAATTATGTACCCGCTAAAGTTCCCTTAAAATTTTTAGGAAGGATGTGTGGTGTGTAATATTCAAGGTCACTTAAAGTCGTTCCCTTTTAACACCATGATATAGTGATTTTTAAAGGCGTATAAGGTGGGTTATATACAACAGAGACTATCGGATAATAACGAGCATTGGAAAACCATGTCCACTATACGCTCTTAAATCCAGTAAATGTCAATAATAAACTGACATTTCACTCGTTCATATATCTGGGCCCGTCAGTAATGTATGTTAATTGGTTTATCTAGAACGTAGACTAACAATAAAACAGTGCGGATGTGCTTTTAATATTTTAACTCTATAAACTGATTGTATCTGTAAGTTTCACTTTTGATTATTTCTGTTACGACTGAATAAAAGAAATGTCCAATGTTTACTTCAATTTTATTTGAATAATCAATATTACTGATGAATTTGGTTAATCTTCTGGTACCTCAATAAACATTCTATATATTGTACAAGTAAAATAAGCTTAATCTAGTAACATCTTTCACATTTCATTCGGAATTGTATCTAATCCTAAAGAAAATACTTATCTCATATCCCTTGGTTTTCAATGCACCATCATCTAGCTGACTTTGATTCATGATGACTATCACTTGACGACTAAATAAAATGAAACTATCTCATTTGTAAAACGGTAGTCAAATCGGTTATCATAACTTACTTTGAAATGTTTTTGTAAATCATCTACATGACGAAATATTGATTTATCAAAGAATACATGTTCATGTTTACCCAAATCAATAATTCCCCATAATTTAGCTACATGAAATATTCTACCACAACGATTTGTCAATGTACGTATACCATTTAAATCCATTGGTTTTGATGCAGTAATTATAATATTAATCATACGATTTAAACGTTTATTACATACATTAATATAATCTATATTTGAATTAGATAGTTGTTGATATTTACGTTGTTGACATTGTTGTTTCACTTGTGAATAATCACTATGGTGATTAGGATTATCATTTGTTCCATCATCATCATCATCACCATTAAATGATGCTTTGATTAATTTTAATTCAAAAAATAGATTATGTTGATTTAAAAATTCTTCTAATTCAATTTTAGTCCAACCAATCGTTGTTTGAACAGTTTCAGGTGCTTTATTAGATAAGAATTGCATTAAATCATGTAAATTTAAACCAGATTGACCAGCTGCACCACCATGTTTTTCTAATACTTTACGTAAAAACATTATTGCGCGATATTCATTAGCAGACATAGTTAAACTAATACTATTCATTGTGTTCAGCGTAACACTAGGTAATGAATTGGTTAATGAAGATGTGTCATTTGCTACTGTCATTGAAGTTGAACTGACACCATCACTATTATTATTGTTATTATTATTATTATTATTGATGCTGTTAGTTGATTTATCGACATCTATTCTTTCTGTCTGCACACGGCTACTGATATCTGATACAAGATTCGAATTGATAGGTGTTGCTGGCACTGAACTAATACTCTCTGACTCAGTTAATGTTTTATTCTGAGGAGATTTTGCTGAACTATCAATTAGAAAATGTGCTGAACGGCGATGGCGGCTTCCAGCAGTGGATCGTTGAATCGACGATGATGGTGTATAATAACCGCCAATACCATCGGATACATTTGATAAATGTCCAAAATTTATCATATTCGGTAAAACAAGTGATTTGGGCCGGGGATTCTTCTCATACGGTATATTACGTGGTAGATAACTTTGGGCAGCATTAGATAGATTTGATGATGAACGACTTGAGTGAATAGCTGACGGACGATCGTGAGATCTTTTCAACCCAAAAACACTAGAGAACGGATCTTTTACACTAACTAAATCTCCCTGCACTTCGAAAACATGAGGATGTTTCAAAAGAAAACGTCGAAATTCCAACTGTGGACCAACTATAGCACGAACTTCTGGACTAGCCTGCGATAAATGTCCTGCTAAGCTTTTAATCGGTATCCAACGTTCTTCCCGTTTGATTAGTTTCTGTTGAAAAAAGTGTACTGCTTCACTTTCCAGTATGAATTTCTCCATTACCGGTAAATTGTAACAGTTTGGTAGTAGTATAGATGGAGATCGCAGTGTAGTTTGTGCTGGTGATATTTTATGAATAGGATCATGTATATGGTGAAATAATGGAGCTGATGGATTCGCTGTCAGTGGAGTGGTTGTACAGTGACAATGCGCTGAAGATGAATGATGATGTGCAGTTGTACAGTGATGTGTATGATGGTGACAGGTAAATTCTATCAGTGGACAGTGTATGCATGTTCCAGTAGTCATTGCAGAGAATTCATGATGATTACTACTTAGTAGGGCATTATAATTACTACCATTAATTGTAGTAGGGACATTTGATGAAGAAGAGCATAATTCACAACCGGATGATAGCAATAATGAGGTTCTATGTTCAGGATTACGTAACTGTGGTGGTTGGTAAACATTTGAAGCTTTTGCTCGTAATGTTGAGGGATTTCTCGAAGATAAACCAATGGGTGGTTGATTATCATCATTATCATTGTTTGTGGTAGTATTAGTATTAGTAGTAGTATTAGCAACATTTTTGTAACTGGTTGTGTCGATACCACCACTAGAGAAGTTATTCCACGACTTTTTACGTCCTAATGAATGATCAGATGAATTTTTTACAAAGTTAGACGATCCATTAGATGAACTAATTGACTGATCAGATGTCAATGATAAACAACTTGTACTATTCAATCGATTATTATTATTATTAATAATGGTATTATGATTAATATTATTATTAGTGGTGTTGGTAGGATTGGGTTTCCGATTAGACCGAAATTGACTATATGTATATTCTTTTTGCACATATGGTATTGGACATGTTTTCGATGAGTAATTAGAATCGAAATTGTAAGAAGAATTTTGCAATGAAGAAGAACTGCTGGATAAATTTTCATTTATTGATTTCTGACCGCTTTCTTTTATTGAACAACTTTCTTGATCAGATAAACCACCGAAATTTGAATCTAAGCCAGGTAATTCAATAGTGACCGAGGTCACTTGTCCATTCGGTTTTACATTAAACAATGAAGGATAACGTTGCAAAAATTCACGCAAACCTTCAGCGCTTCCACCACCGCATGCATCACGCATTTCTACACTGAATGATTTATGCGAAAAACGCGCTGCTAATTGGTCAACAGTGATAGGACTATCAGAATTCATAAGAACCTCAAGAAAATAAAGCATTGCTTTATGACTTGGATCATTCATCATTTTATAAAGGAATACTTCTCTTCGTTTTAAATAATCTAAACATGATACAGCATCTAGTTTGATTCAGGATTCATAAATAATACATTGGATATTGTGAAGTGTGTAAAAGGATATTTTGTTTTATAAAGAGAGAAGGGATAAACTCATTTAGAGATGAATACAATAGTTAACGTTTAGAATACAACTGTTAAGAACGATAATCATCAAAAACATCAATAGATCTATCACAATAGTTTTATCAGTTTTCCAATCAGTCTGAATCTGTTACATATTGTTCGAACTGAGAAAACTGATTTCTATGAACCAGCCTAAATGTCATTTATATAGAAAATAGTTTTTTTTCAAAAATATAGAATTAATGTTAGACAGAAAGTCATGTGTCAATGTTCGTGTAAATCTGCGTTACTGAATATCATCTAAACCCTATCAGTTAATTGAGGAAGTTATTATTTGTATGTCAAGGGGTGAGAAAACGTACATAAATGTAATTTTAATGAGTGTCAGTTTATCAATTTTACAATTCTAGTGTTAGAAGAAGTCCATCTTCATGTTTTGTACATTAGGAGATAATTAAGATCTAAATCAATATGAACTAAGGATTTCTTTTTGGTACACAAAATTATCTTTTCTGCGTAACAGAAGGGGTTTTTTGGACATTGTAGTAATTTCAATAGTTGAGATCATGAGACAATTGAAGTTAGACAACCACAGTAAACCTGGAAGTACTGAACGGCCCTTTCGTCCTATTGTGGCACTCCTCAGCAATGCGTATCCACGATCCCACCTCTCGAGATTCGATCCCAGGATCTATCGGTCTGGCACGCGAACGCTTAACCACGAGACCATTGAGTCGACTGGCATTCAATCGTGTCAATGTCTAACTTCAACTAATCCACGAAGTTGAGCAACACATCCACCATTATTTTCAGTCAGTTACCAACTCACTACAGACCCGGTTGAAATCCGCTGGTCACTGCTTCTCACTAGAACTCCAAGAAGTAGTTCTTGAAGCCAGTCACTAGTGTCAGAAGGGGTTTTGTGGTTATTGTAATAATTTTAGTAGTTGAGATCATGAGTCAATTGAAGCTATATATATATATAATGATCATCAATCAAGTCATATTTGTACTAAATGCTTATCCAATCATAATCAGATGTGGAAATTAGTCAGCATTTGAATAAGATTGAATAAGCACACTAAAGATTTGATTTGATTGTTAAACATGATTTATTCTTTGATCATTTTGATTTCAATAGTTGAGCTGGCTCAGTAGTCTAGAGGTTAAGCGTTCGCGTGCGAGAACGATAGAACCTAGGTTCAAATCTCATGAGGCGGGATAGTGGATGCGCACTGCTGAGGAGTGCCACAATAGGAGAAAACGGTTGTCTAGTACTTCCAGGTTTTCCATGGTTGTCTAACTTCAATTGACTGATGATCTCAACTATTATGATTACTTTATTATCCACAAAAAGCCCCTTCTGGCATTAATTTTAATTTTGATTATTCTACCCTGAAGAAGTTCAAACACGTTCTCCGGACAAAACGTTGGAACTATTTTTAAATTTCAGAATATGATTTTGACATAAATAATTTTATTTATTGTTGATTAACAAATAAATGAATTAATTAGTAAATAGGAACAGGATTACATAATTAAATGTTGGAAAATTTCAGGTGTCAGAATGGGTTACGTAATAATAATAATAATAATAATAATAATAATAATAATAATAATAATAATAATAATAATAATAATAATAATCAAAATTACTACTCCTTAACGAAAAATGATTTAACCTCTCTTGAAATTTCGATACAATACAAAATGATTATCCAGCTAATGTAATTGAATGTTCTATTAATAAGTGTGTTGAAATGATACATTTCAGATATAGAGGTTTCTAAAAGAAAGTGAACATGCTCATAGTTCGTTTGAGTAATGCGTTCATTGTTATAGTACCATTACACTCAGTCCCATATCAGAATCTACCTTAGTATTTTACTTCTATTGAAAAGAGGCATTTAAGGGTGAGTGAGTACGAAAGAGATCTAATTCAACCAATCATGAAATTTCAACTCAATAAAATTCATCTCAGTACTATTATTCTCTAATAACTGTTTTTAGTATCTTCTAAATTTTAATAATTTTCCAACTTATTTCAGTTCCGTGTTGAAATCAATACGAACGTCAAATCAGTTCTACTGTAAGGAATTGAATCTTCGAGGACTACTAAAACCATCATCAAGAAGGTACAAGGATTTATAAATAGTTTTCTACGAAAGATACTCAATATCCATTGGCCAGATACTGTTAGCAACAAACTACTGTGGGAGAGAACAAACCAGCTTCCAGCTGAAGTGGCAATTAGGAAAAGAAGATGGGAATGGATAGGACATACAATACGAAAATCACCAAACTGCATCACGAGGCAATCCCTAGCTTAGAATCCTGAAGGGAAGCAGAAAAGTGGAAGACGAAAGAACACATTACGTCGGGAATTGGAAGCAGATATGAAAAGGATGAATAACAACTGGAAAGAGCTGGAAAGGATTGCTTGATATAGGGTTGGTTGGCGAGTGCTGGTGGGCGGTCTATGCTCCTCCACGAGGAGTAACAGGAGTAAGTAAGTTGAAAATTAACTTTAATGCAAATTTGTTTTAAATTGATGATTCAAATGAACCTGTTTTTCTTTCGTAAATTTACATCAATTAATCGTTTGAAACAAGAATATGATATTGAAATCAATAATACAAAACAATTTTATTTAAATTCATTATTATACTACTGATATATTAATGAATAGATTGTTTTAATTATGTTTATAAGCGATTATTCAGTTAAAATACAGTTTGTAAAACGAATATATTTGAAGAACAAAACAATAAATACCTTTCCGTTTTTTTCTTTCTTTCTAAATTTAATGTAATTCATGCGATCTAATATATGCACATGTTAAGGATGATTGAAGAATACACTTAATTTTATGGTGAATTAGAGCATTCTTAAAAATAACCTTGAAGAGAGAAATTAACACAATCGTGTGACCAAAAAAACACAAAAAGTGAACTTAACGTTACAAATAAAAACTAGTGAACTACATTATACCTTGACGGTTCTTAAAGTGATTTCAATAGTTGAGATCATCAGTCAATTGAAGAGAAGATAGACCACCATGAAAAACCTAGAAGTACTGGACGGCCGTTTCGTCCTAGTGTGGGACTCCTCAGCAGTGCGATCCCACCTCTCGAGATTCGATCTCAGGATCAGTCGTTCTCGCACGCGAACGCTTAATCACTAGACCACCGAGTCAACTGGCATCCAACTGTTTAAATAGTCCGATGACCTAGATTTCAAAGTGTAAAGTAGTTACATCAAAGGATTGTGACGGTAACCGAATAATTATTCACGGTCATGGACTTATTATTTGCTCATAGTCCGTGGGGAATCTTGATGCATTCATCAATCATATAAATTTTTTGTGTGTGTGCCATACGATTGATTTTTGAAGATAAGCTTACGTTCATTGTCAACAAATTTCTCAATAAACATAAGCTTTTACAATCTTAAAGAAAATCATACAGCCATGTTCTCTAATTTGATTGGTTATATACTGAAGCTATAAGTTAAGGTTGATACTTTCTATTATCAGTAATATAATGAAGCGCACTCATAATTCGTTTCTTCGACTTTTCGGTTAATTGCAATATTGAAAGATTCGTAGTTTATAATTAAAGAAAAAAGTTTTCCTTGGAATTTATTTTCAAGTTATATTAGTAGATTGTAAAGTAACAGAGGGTAGTTTAGTTCATCCATCATGGAATCTAATTTATGTTATAAACTAAGTATTTATTGAGAAACAGGTGGTTAGCCTAGAAAAATAGCTTTTCTATGATCAGAGTGACAGACATCTGTTTATTATAATCAAAAGGTATATGTAGAGCCTGTAAGTGTATCTCTGTAAAGGACTTAAGTCAGAATGAATTCCTATTTTAGGCTTTACCTGTTGCCTAGACACAAAAATTACTAGGTAATTATTATTTGGTTACCTCTATTTAGCTTTTATAAATTTTGGTATCGTTTTTGACCATTTTCTTCAGGCATTTTAGGTTTGAAAGGGAAACATTGAAATATGTGTGACTACTGAGTATTTGAATATCATAGCCTACCAATTTATGAATAGTCAATAGCAAATAAACGCACAGAGAGAGAGAGGAAGGAAACATTCAGATCACCTAGTGTCTTTTATTTTTGTGAATGAATGATAGCTCTAGCATGTAAGAACAATCTAGGTAACTAGTTTGGAATTCTTACTTTTCCATTAACGTTTGCTGTTAATTGTTTGGTCGTTTCTACTTTTAGTTTGCTAGTTTTTCTGTGTCTCAAAGAAATATTTACTGCTGTATACACACTTGTGTTGCTACAATTTTGATTTTTTTGAATACCAAGCTTTTTTTCTGAGTTCGTGAATTCTATTCAGTGTCTTGAGGGATTGTTCTTGAAGTGTTGTTAATTAGTAGTCCTGTTCATCTGGTTTGAATGTGCTCCGTTTATCATCATAAGAATCGCTTAGAGGTTCGTAATTCGTGATTATGGTAAGCAATCACGAGACAGAACAAGAGGGAAATTTGATCTACGAATGAACCATTTAATCAACCAAATCCTTCTGTTCGTCCTTATATTTCATTCAAGCAGATGGCTTAATATATAGTTACAGGTTAAAATATATTTGAATTGTAGCTCGAAATAAAATCTAAATTGCATATTTCGACCTGTTTGATACTTATCATCTGGATGCACCTAAATCCCAAATTGATGATCATACTAAAATTCAGGCTCATAATCTATTACTTCAAACGCCAACACGCTATTCGCTAAGTTGTTGATCAAAATTAAGTTCTGAATACCAAAAGTGAAATGGTTGAAACCCTTGCGGATAAATGATTGTATCCATTGGACAAGTTAGTACTTATTTGAACTCAATAGATCAATAGATAAAGCATTGAGCTTTCAAAGTGACATATGATTAGCCTGAATCTGTGTGAGCATCGCTT